CCCATCGGTCTCTTGATTGCCATGTACAAGCTCCGACTGCCCGTCACGGAGAACCTTTGCATGGAAACCATCCATTCAGCATTCAAAATCACGCGAGATGCCGATGCCGCGTATATACCGCCAGGGCGGCTGCGAAGGTACGACCTCATAATCTTGGATGAGATCTCCCAAATCGACGAGTATGTGTGGGACCGGATGAAAACAGCCCTGAACGAGTTGCATCCGGTGCCTGTCGTGCTCTTCGTCGGCGACGAGCAGCAACTGCAGCCTGTGCACGGCCAACCTCAACTCTTGATGGATCTCGAGTCTTTGAGACAGGCTGGAAAAGCTCAGCATATTCGTCTGCGGCAGCATCACCTTGCCCGCTCAGTTGATCCCACTATGCTCGCATTCCTGAACAAGGTCCGCACCAAGCAGCCAACGCGAGCGGAGCTGGAAGAATTCTTCAGCGGCAGAGTCTGGGATTGCACCTTTCAGGATGCCGTGAAGAAGAGCCTGGCCATCTAGAGATCCACCGGAAACAAATTCATGTTCCTGACCGTCGCCAACAAGCCTGCAGCGGACCTAAATCAGGCAAGATTAGAGCTGGAGTTCCCCGAAGAAGCTCGGCGATTGTCAAACGGTGAAGGATTGCCTGGCGAGATCGGGAATATTCTCCTCACGGCAAACATGCGGGTTCGCCTGACTCACAATGTCAACAAGGAGGAAGGCTTCGTCAACGGCAATACAGGCACGGTCAGAAAGGTTCTCCGTCCAGATGTGTTCGTGATGGAAAGCTCGCAGCAGACATGCATTTTGGTGTACCCCATCACCGTCAAAGGCCACAAGTACCTGCCAGTGGCCTACGGGTATGCCACTACAATGCGGCGAGCGCAGGGGGCCACCTTGGAAGCAGTCGGATTGCTATTCGACCGTCGCGTGCCCGACAGAGGCTACGCGTATGTCGGCACGTCACGGGCAAAGGCCCGCACCATGGTCTTTCATCTTGGCCGGCTCCGCCAGACGGATTGGTTGCCTGTTGGCGGAAACCCAGACGAAGAACACACCTCGCTTTCCGTCTTCAGTGAGTCGAGCGCTGAACAGGAGGAGTCGGAGGATCCCCCAACAGAGAGCGTAGAGGCAGCCACCAGCGACTTCGATTTCGACCACGAGTCCATGGAGGA